AAATATTATAGATAATATTGTATTCTTGCAATTATATATTGTAATACAATATGTAATATATTTGTATATGTTACAAATAGTAATTCTTCATAGAATTTAGATGATATTTCAAATCACCAAAGATTGGGATATTATGCAAAGATTTTTGGAAGACCTACGTAACTTGAAAATGGAAAATGGGTAGAACTTTTAAAAAGAGAACTGGTAAGAGCACTAGAAACTAGAAGGCACTTTGTATAACCTGAGGATATAACCTGCTTTCCTCAGGGCCATTTGAAGAAAATCCAAAACTCTTTCATAGATTTTACCTCTGGATCATATTCTTCCCAAACTCATGCTGATGTGAAATTTCCTCCTATCTCCAAGAAATCTCTGAGACTTATTTTCTAACTTAGTGAAATCTCAGCATTTGTTTGGTTTTTTTTCCATTCTTACCCTGGCCTTACCGGGATACATGAGAAAAGTTTGAAAGGTAAGTGAGAAGAGAACTTTCTCTTCGTATAAAGACATATTTGTCTCAAAAATTTTACTAGCCTTTCTCTGGCTCCTTTTCTTGGATAGTTTTTTTCTATTCATTATTCTGAACAATACTTACAAATTTAAGAACAAACAAATAGATTCAAAATCTACATCAAGGGTGGTGATGTGAGGAGAATGAAATGTGCAAATACTGTTACATTAGTAAATTTTGCTATTGATAGGGGGAAATCAGTAGAACTAGGTTGGAAAGGAGAAAATGGTTCACTTTTCCTAGAGGGGGTAAAAGGAAAGGAGGCTATAGAAGTGGGGACCAGCCCAGAGAGAGGTGATGATTAGTTCTTATAATTTCTGTCAATTTGACCCCTGAGCTATTCAATGAATATTTTTAGATTAAAAAAATATTCTACAAGGACAAATAAAGATTATCCAATAAGAATTTTATATAAAATCATCCTCATTTGCATGTGTTTCTGGGTGTGTGTATTTAACTGAAATCCAAATGTGATAAGATGATAATGAAGGAACTAGTTCAGATTTACATTAGCAACTTCTTTTTTTTCAGAGAGCTTATACTATGTTATTGGATGCTTCCCTCTTATTATAACACTAGGGGCCCAGTGCACAAATTCATGCACTTTGAAAGGAACTGTGGGCTGCAAGACTGCGGTGGGCACAGGGGCAGGTCTTGGCCCATCCTCTGCGCCCCCGCCTGGCCCCCAGTCCCCAGTCCCGCCATGGCCCCCAGTCCCCTGTCTTTGCGCAGCCCTGCTCCCGCTCCCACTACCTCAGCTCCCACCACCGCCACTCCCAGGCACTGACTGCGCTGGCCCTGCTCGCACGATTGGGGCCAGCACCATCAGCGGGCGAGCGATCAGGAATGGAGCTGGGCGCCGGCAGCGGGTGCCAGCAGCGGCTCTGGCGCCAGCAGTGGGTCCAAGCTGGGATGTTGCTGGCAGCGGGTGCAAGAGGCGGCTGCTGGCCCCGATCGCCCCTCAGGAGCAGGGGAAGGTGGAGAAGCCCTGAGGGGCAATTGGAGCCGGCAGCTGCCACACGCACCTGCTGACGGTGCCGAGTGATCGGGGCCAGTGTTGGGTGCTGGCAGCAGGTGTGAGTGGGGCTGGCGCCAGCAGCAGGTGCAAGTGCCAGGCAGGACCATGGTGCATGGGAGCAAAGAATTTTCAGTAACCACCAGAGGCTGGCCCCAATGACAGCGACTGGCACCCTGCCTTTGTCCGGCACTCCCGCTCACCTGCTCCACCATCCCACCACGGCTGACACCCACCATGTTCCATGCTCTGCCACTTGCTGCCAATGCCCGCCACGTTCTGCACGCGCCCCTTGGTGGTCAGTGCACGTCATAACGACCGGTTGTTTGGTTGTTCAGTTGTTCTGCCCTTTGGTCTATTTGCATATTAGCCTTTTATTATATAGGATCACCAATCTAAATCCTCTGAGGTATCTGCCATGACTTTTTGTGCTGTCTCTTGCCCCTTGATTTTTCAAACCTCAAAAAGTAAAATAAAATGTGTGAATTCTCAATTCCAGCAAAGCTACATGTTTAAACATTATTCTACTGTAATTATTAATAGACAGGGAGGGAAAAAAATGATGCATTTTCACAAACCCAAAATGGCATAGACTAGCAGTTGCTCAAGGTTATAGCATAGAACTAGAATTAGAGAGTTGACATGTGCCGTGGATAAAACTAACAATCAGTTGGGATACGTTGGCATAATGGTACAGAAACGAAACCATTCCAACATTTGCAAACCAGCTGGCAAATATTTGCAACACCAAGTTCTCTGGGTAGCACTTGTGCCAACCTCACCACATGGTTTATCCCCTGGAGGCCTCCTAGATCTCTTTACAGTCAAGCAATCAAAAGACTGTGGGCTGGCAACACAGAGGTCCTCAAGGAACTTGCTCCAACACTAAGTGGAGCCCATTTCTCATTGGTCAATTCTTTAACCAATCCCAGTGAAGGCGACAGTGCCCTTGGGGAGGCACTGCACCCTGGAAGGCAATTCCTAGTGCCCATCTGCAAACCCCATTCACAGCCAACAGATGCTTCCAGTTATCTTCCCATGGTTAACTGTGGGAACTGCGTCTCCTAGGGATGTGGGCTCTGAAAGAGCAGAGGAGAGACAGACAGTTGAGCAGCAGGCTGCCTGGTGAGCCAAAGTACTGGCTGTTAATAAGTTTAAGTATCATTCCCAGGGATGGGGACAGAGCAGTATTATCCAAGATTTTTTTTTAAAGTTAGGAAATTGTTGATTAAACAAAATTTAATGTTCCTTTACTTCAGAACTTATAAGTTTTAATTATTCTAATAAATACTGTGAAACTCTTAAGTGCATATGTCATATAGCATTTCCCAAATATATTTGATTATAAGTCCATTCTTGAGGTGTATGTAATGAGATCAGTGTTCTGAACAACATACTTTGGGGGACAAACTATCAGTTTAAAAAAAGGAAAAGAAAGATTGTGGATCTTGGCTTTACAAGAAAAGGGGAACAATAAAAATATTTAAAACCAAATTTGCAAACAGAAAGGCCAGCCTATGAGAACCATAATGTTACTATTGTTGTAAAGGCAAAACACCACCAACAACAACAAAACCCGAGAAAACAATATTTAAAAATTATGCATCATACAAAGACACAGATATATTTAAGATGCTATATAAGTAGCCTTGATGTCTCAATCTGTACCATTTTTTAAAACATTCCAAAACAAACAAAATTTTTTTCAGGTTTTGTTTACAGGTTGACTTATCTACAGATGAAAAACAGAACTCCTGTCAGCACCTATGCTGTAGTAGAAAAAGCTAAAAGCTTAAAAAATAAGCACTCCAGGAAAATACATATGTAAGGGATTAAATCAAAGCTGGAACGGGTTTGCTTTTGAGCTTTAATCCCTACTTTACTCTCTTTACAAACATATCCTAAACAGTGACTTTTAGAACCTTTGAAAGCGTGTGTCTTTATCCATTTACCATATGCACAGAGCTAAAACGAGTTGCTTCAAGGGGTTGAGGAACCACGGTAAAGGCATGGCACCTGTCTTCCAAGAACTTATGATCACTTCCAGATAGCAGTGTCCCATCATGCTTGAAGGGATCAATACAGGATGTGACTAGTTTCCACAAAGAGCAGCAGGAGTAAAAGGTGGGATTGGATTTCCTCTACTATAACCTTATACCACCAAATGAGATAATAAATCAGCAAAAAAATTGTCTGTAAACTAAATTAGGCCATAAAAAGTGCCCAGCACAATGGCTGGCATATAAGGAACTATCTATAAATTATAGCTTCTGTTATTCATGTTATCACTCGTTTGTTTTTTTCTTGTTTGTTTGTTTTTTTTGTATTCTTTGCCTAACACTTACTAAAATCCATTAAAATCCTCAAGGTAAATCTCAACCTCTGAAAAGGACTGAGATTTAGTTTTCTGAGAACAGAAAGCTATTCGTGAAGCTATTACCATTTTTCAATGAAACCGAATTTAGAGTACCATATCTTATTTTATTTATTTGTTTTTAATATGTTTTTATTGATTAGAGAGAGAAAGAGAGATAGAGAAAGAGAGAGACATCTATGGGCTGCTTTCTGCACACCCCCTTCTGGGAACTGAACCCACAACATTGGACATGTGCCCTGATAGGGAATCGAACTGGTGACTCTTGGTGCATGGGGCGATGCTCAACCAATGGAACCACAATGGCTGGGCCATACTGTCATATTTTAAAAGGCATGCATTAGTTTTATGTGGGACTTGGATTGGTGAAGTAAGGATAAAAACTGAAATTTACAAGTTAAAGATTTACACTGCTTCTATAATAAATGTGCCAGGATCCCACTGCTTAATAAACGATTATGCTTCACAAACCTAACAGATAATACAATTGAACATGATCTAAGCACTCCATGTGCAGATTCCTATGAAATGAACATGGATAATCACATGTTACAGATAAGGATGATCCAGAAGTATATCCAGCCTCCCAAAGGCCACACAACTTGGAACTTGCCCCACTAAACGCCATGGGATGCTGCCACTCTCAAAGGCTACAAGAGGTGAAGAGAATATATTTACAAAATCTAGTCCTGCATTTCTTAGTAAAAGAAATATGAACTGAGACTGTTCAAATTCCGACATGGTGTAGATCAGGGGTCCTCAAACTACGGCCCGCAGGCCACATGCAAATACAAATATTGTATTTGTTCCCATTTTGGTTTTTTTACTTCAAAATAAGATATGTGCAGTGTGCATAGGAATTTGTTCATAGTTTTTTTTTAAACTATAGTCCGGCCCTCCAACGGTCTGAGGGACAGTGAACTGGCCCCCTGTTTAAAAAGTTTGAGGACCCCTGGTGTAGATCAAAACCTGGGTTTTCTTCACATCCAGTAAAAGGGCAGAGGAAGAATCGATTTTAAGAAAAGTATAGCAGAAACTCACCCAACGATCCAAGAGGAAAAGGAAGCGTGTCATGTATCTGGTCCACCCTGGCTTCTGGAAAGGCTAGAGATATAGGCCACGTGAGTGGGCCCACCTCTTAATCATCTCACGATGTCTCATGCAGGTTACCAAGATGCCAGGGATGCAGAGCACTTGGCATCAAACAGAATCCGATGCAGGGCCTGTCTAACTGAGTAACCATTGAGCCCGCTGGTTCCCTCAACAAATAAACTCCAGATCTGCTATTTCCACATTTACTTTTTTACCTGAAGGTCTGCAAGATAATAATCGTTAATCCTTCTCTTTTTTTCTGCCTGACCCCTACCCCTGCCCACCCTAGTCTTGCTATTCCCTATACTTCGAAAGCTCTTTCCCCAGATACCTCGACAGATGGCCTCTCTCTTCTTTCTGGACAACGGTCACGCTATATGACACAGCAACCCCTCCCCTTCCCCCAACACCCAGATCCCCCTTAGCCTCTTTCATTTCTCTTCATGCTATTTACCCCGTCTGATAGATCAACTTGTTTTTGGTTATCTATCTTTACCCACCAGATGTAAGCTCCATGAGAGCAGGAAATATGTCCGTTCTGTTCACTGCTGGCTTCCTAGCTCCCAGAAGAGTACCCCGGATGCTCACAGTGTGGTTCTGAATGAATCCTGACTTGACAGATGCTTGCTCTTCTTGCATGGCCCACTGGATTTCTACTAAGTCAGTAAGAAGCTCACGCAGCCTGGCAAGGACTACTGCTCCCTGCTCTTAGCAGACACAATCAGCTATGTGGGCTGAAGTGGGATGAGTGGGCATGTTCCACACTCCTCTACCTTTCCATCAAGAAACCTCTGCCTGACATCCATGTCCTGACCAAGTCATTGACCTCAAAGACAGTGACTATCTTTGTTCACCTTCTCCTCCCAAATCTCCATTCTCCAGAACAGTGCGGGCACATAGCAGATGGCCTCTGCACATGGAAGGTAAATGAATGCATGATGAGTAATGGACACACTCTTTGAACCAAGGATGACCCAGGCTACTTCAGAAGGTTCTAGAAAGTACCCAAATGCCCTGAGCTCTTCCTTCTCCACCTTCACACCCCAGAAAGGGAAAACGTTCTACCCCAGACACATCAAGCCACATGGCCAAGGTCACAAAACAAGCGACAGGGGAAACTCTGAGACAGGAAGCGCCAGGGCTTTACTCAAAAGAGCACCAAGGAGATGTCCTGCAATCAGAGCAGCGCTTGCCTCTAAATCGCAGCTGTGGCATGTGTGTTTTGCTTCTTTCCTAAAATCGTGAAGAACAGCCCCTTTCATTGCACTAGTGCATTTGGCAGCACAAAAATAGCTTCCAAAGCCAAAGGCACACGGGCTGCATTGCAGACTCTACTCTTGGATAACACAGGATGCACCAGGTTAAAGCCGTGGGAATAATTTAGGGCTCAGAAAATGTGTGTGAGTCGACATTTAAATAACTTCATTATCATTCATTGGCAGATTTTTTTTAGCCTGTCAGCCCAACTAATAATCTATGCCCATGCTGTAGCAAACCCCTGTACATCTTAAATACAGTCACCAGATTCCGGTAGTCTGCCCACTGTCAAGCAAAGATCTCCAAATGCATTTGTAGTAATACCTCGAGAATATAATAGGCAATCTACATCAAACGATGGCGGGGAGCTGAAGGCAATTGTCTCCTGCTTTCGAAGGATTCTGCCCTGAAATTCCTTCGCCCGGCAGCCTATCCATAGAATTTAAAAGTGCTGATGAGACATTATGGTGCAGCCGAGTTGAATAAGCTTCCCTCTGCTTCTTGGATTCCCTGAACGTTTCAGGTTAACTTGCAGAATCAGAGGGAGAGAAGTTAAACTGTGGGGTTAGGAGGCAGGCCGTGTCAATGGGATGCAAAGGAATGACCACACTGCCATCTGTCACAGAATTTAGAATTTTATTTTTCAATGTAAGACACGGGTGGGTACCTACATGTTCACAAGTTGTGAAAGTTCTCTCTCATCTTCCTGGGCTTTCTGGGCCATTGTCCTTCTTTGGTGTTAATGTTTCCAGTCACACGGGGCAGCTGAGGTAAGAAGCTGAATGTTATTTGCTTGTGACTGGATGCATATTGCTCCACAGAAAAGGAGGTGATATAGTATACAGCACATTGCCACATACATGCCATATATTTCTGCTGTAGATAAAATTGGAGATCTAAAATAATGGTAACAATAAAGATAGGGGTTAACCTTTACCTCTGAAATACCTTCCAGTTCATTGTTGAGTATAAAAGTAACCCAAACTGGTTGGCACTGATAACTGGGTTTCTGACTATTCTGCTTAAGAAAGGGAAGGCAAAACCCTAGCTGGTTTGGCTCAGTGGATAGAGCGTCAGCCTGTAGACTGGAGGGTCCTGGGTTCCATTCCAGTCAAGGGCACATGCCCAGGTTGCAGGCTCAATCCCTAGTAGAAGGTGTGCAGGAGGTAGCCGATCAGTTATTCTCTCTCATTATTGATGTTTCTATTTCTCTCTCTCGCTCTCAATAGAAATATATTTTAAAAAAAAGAAAAGGAAGGCAAATTAGAGGTCTTTTGCTCAGCTTTTTCAGGAACACGTATAGGAAGAGCATTCTCCTAACTACACAGACACACAGGCGCGCGCGCAGGACTGTCTGCCTCCAGTGTCTCTCATCTGAACCTTCCACTTCAGTTTAAGTTCCATACTGGGCAGGCCCCTACCATCTCTGCAGTGTCTGGGACTTACCTGTGCACATAGCACAGGGGAAACTACTGCTTGTTCTCCCTCACAGATGCATCCTCGCTCATGCTTCTGTGTCTTTGCGGTGCAATACCCTCCACTAAACAGACACACTGGTGCTGGGGGCCAGGGCACATATTCCTTCTCATCTTTAGCGATCCTACTCCACAGGCACCTTCTCGGGATGCCTGACAATGCCATCGCCAGTAGTCTTTCTTCTTTCTTCTACGACATCCCAGACCCCTCTACACTGAAACTGCGGATGTTCAGAGTTTCCTGTGCTAATAGACTATGCTCTCTAAAGGCAGGATGAGTTCCTTTCACCCTTCTTTCTGCCCATCAAAATCCATTCGTCTACTTCAAGGCTGGATGTGCATATCCCTTCCTCCCCTGAGCTTTCTCACATCACTCTGCGAAGTGAAATGATTCCTTTATAGCCCATGTAGCACACCTGAACCTCTCCCACAGGCTTTTTATTCTCTGCCAGGTATTACCCTCATAGGGATCTGATGTTCCCTACCTGCTGGCCATCTACTAGAGAGCAAGATGCATTTCCGCCCACTCTTCTATCCCTCTCTCCACCATTGTAGCTCTTACTATTATCCAAAAAGTGCTCAAACAATGTTACTGCTTGAACACACTGCTCTGAAATGTTCTCCTCTATTATCAGAAGGTATAATTTGAGAAATTCCACATTTGGTCTTTGAATTTCTTTTTAGAGGGTGAGGAAGCAAAAAAAAAAAAAATTAGGGCTCCCCACTGAATTTTTGTGTCAGATGGTTAATCATGACACAAATGCAAGAGAAATCAGGTTCTTGCTTAGAAAGAACTCATACTAATGTTTTTGTAAAATTTACTATGCATCAATTTATTAAAATATTACATATAAACATAGCGATAGAACACACAATATGCATTTATCATTTACATGGGTGAAGATACATCTAGAAAAGGTGGGCATGAGAATCCTATTTAAAGGATTCTCTCCTTTGATATGACCCTAATCCCCAGACATTTCTGGTCCAACACTTCCATCTTCATGCTGAGGTCACCCATGAATAGACTGCATTACCTTATACTCATAACCAACTGTGTCAAATGGTTTATAAATAATAACAGTGACCATCTACCAAATGCTCAAAACATACCTTACTCTTGGCTAACAAGAGCTTTACAAGGATTGTCTCATTTAATTATCATAATACCCTATAAGTACTGATATGACCCACATGTTACAGATGTAGAGATGGAGACTTAAAGAGGATGACCAACTTGCCCAATGCCACACAACCATCATACTAGAACCTGGATTCAAACCCAGGCAGTTGATTTTTGAAGCCAGCATGCTTAATGCAGAGACAAGACAGCTCAGCCATTTATGTGTTGTGCTCTTTTAGAAAGATAGAATCATTTGTCTGGAAAGTAATGAAAATTTCCAGTGGAGCTCCCAGAACTTAGATCACCTGCCTCCCAAACAAGGAACCACCACTGTTCATAACATCTTCCAGTTATCATCCTAAAGTCCATTTTCTTTTTGAAAGAGAATCATTAGCCAAACATCTAATAAGCCAATATGAGGGACTAGTTCTTTAAAACCAGGCACAACGTGTAGTATCTATGAAGCTCATTCATTCAAGAATTCTGTATGTTGTTTCTCCCAAGTTCCAGGCCCCCAGCTGAAACGGCATATGTATAGATCTTCCTTGCTTTAGAATCCTTGTCAGAAAATGAATTTGAGCTGGGACTGCTCATTGTCCTGTGCTGTTTCTCCTCTCACATGGCACTTTGGTTGGCTAAAGGAGCACTGAGAATGCCTTGCTGGGGAATAAGCAAAAATAAGTAAAACGTTTATCAGATGAAGCCAATGTTACTCGGTCCTCCTAGCCCTTCCATCAGAACATACAAATGAAAATTATACAAAATGTATTTCCAGAAGCATAATCAACTAAATATTTAGTGGTGCCTGTGGGCTTTACTTGATTCCCTGATATTAAGATGATCCAATTTTCCTAAAATGTAAAAGTTGTTTTCGGAGTGTCATGTCACCTTGCTGTGTTTTATCCCAGAGATGGTGGGAGCCTGAGTTTCTTGTGATGGTACATAAGTGAGCATTTGCTGCCTTCAGTTTACTGGGAAATGAGACAATTGCTTCCTCATATGTAATGGGAGAGGCATGGACCAGCTGATCTCCAGGCATGACTGGAACATTCAATAATTCCCATAGCAGCAAAATTCTACATTGACAGGCCTACAACAGACCTCTGAGATGTTGGCCTTAGAGGTAAATCTCAGGGTAACATTGCAGGAAACACCCAGGGTCAGGATGGAGGTACATACTGTCTGTTACATCCTCTCTGTTTTCTAATTAACTTTTTTAAGGGTGAAATGATTGAGCCTGGTTAGAAAACACGGTGTGTTCATTATTGCGCATCATTATATCATTTTAAAATATCAGCTTTTTATTTAGTTATTTTTTAATTTATTGGGTGGCACTGGCTAATAGGATCAGATAGGTTTCATGTGTACATTCCTGTGATACAAGACCCGTAACTTGCAGCTTTTAAAAAAAATTTTAGTCCCTACCTATTACTTTGAAAAAAGCTAAAATTTCTAGAATGATAGAGCTTCAATAAGGTCTTAGATGATTTCACCTCGGTTCAATTAAAAGAAAAAAAGCAGTGGGAGAATTTAAGCCCTAGTCTAATTATATATTAAACAGATATGGATTTATCCTCATTGAAACACCTGTCCTCCACCCCAGCTCTCCCCTCCTGCATCCTTGCTTCCCCCTTTAGTAACTCTTTAACACTTTCACACGACCTCTTGGGATCAATAGAATGCAGTTTCCACAGAACAGAGTAAGTCCAACCACGTGAATCTGCTGATGAAGAGGCTCAAACTCAGAGTAAGCAAGTCACGCATTAGTTGGTGCCCAAGGGAAA